TCCTGTAAACAAACGTTGGTTTTCACGAGACTCACCGGTGCATGCGCAACGCTGACCTCATACGTCATGCTCCCGGAACTGCTTCTGTGTACAACTGTTGGCGCAAGCTACATTAAAGTGATTATTACGTTTTGAATATGGATATTTTTCTTACAAAAACGCATCGATTCGCTACAGAAGGCCTTTGTTCACCCCCTGGAGCCGTGTGAGACACTTTTTTTATGGATGGGCGCTTTTTATTTAAGTTCTTTTGGACTGAAGCAATGCAACACCCGCTGAGTGGCATTAAACAGCTTGAAAGATCAAAGACAATTTTTAATATAACTCCGACTGGATTCGTCTGAAAGAAGAAAGTCACATACACCTAGGATGCCTCGGGGGTGAGTAAAACGCAGCCTAATTTTCATTTTTGGGTGAACTAACCCTTTAAAGATAACTCTTTCCAACTTAGCATAATGAAAAATAATATATAAATAAATGCTGTTCTTTTGAACTTTCTATTCATCAAAAAATCCTGAAAAAAGTATAATGGTTTCGAAAAGAAATTAAGCAGCACAACTGTTTTCAATACTGATAATAATAAGAAATGTTTCTTGAGCAGCATATTAGACTGATTTCTGAAGGATCGTGTGACACTAAAGACTGGAGTAATGATGCTGAAAATTCAGCTTTGCATCAAAGGAATAAATTACATTTTAAAATATACTCAAATAGAAAGTAGTTACTTTAAATTGTAATAATATTTCACAATATTACTGTTTTTTAATAAATGATTAAGTGATTTGGTCTCTCTTTCAGGGTGATTAATGCTGGGAAGAGCATGCTGAATGAAGACCAGGCTTCCTGTGAGCTGCTGTACATCAGGAAGATGAGTAGTAAGCAGCAGCGCTGCTCCATGTTACTGGAGGACAGTGGGGTAAGTAAGTTTTAGACACTACATCCTGAAAAGACCAATGCAGGATGTAGAATGTTGTTTGCATGAAAATATTGCTAACGCCAAACTCTATTGAAATCAATGGTAATGCGAGTCTTCATGGCGCTTCAATTCTTGGTATCAATATTTATGAATCCACTGAAACATCTATAAAAAAAGATCCCTAATCTGCTTTTTAATGGAACTGTTGTGGATCAACTGAACTGGGCAAAACTGGTCTCAGGTAAGATTATGAAAGATTTAGCTTGCTGACGGAGCACTGAACTCACTGATCCTGGAGATCCCATTGAGCACAGGCATCTGTTGTTGAAACCTAATCTAAATTGAAAGAAAATCCAGATAGACTTGAAAGGCCTGGCATTTTGAAACTACATTACAGAACAATAAAGTTCTTGAAATTGACCAATGTTCAATTTTGAACCGAACCCCTTGGTGATCATTATGAAAGGTAAAATAGCTTTCAACAAGCATACTGACAATTCAGACTTTTATTCTCGCAATTGCGAGTTTACATCTCACAATTCTGACTTTTTTCTTAAAATTGAGTGATATAAACTCATAATTCTGAGTTATTCTTCATAAGTCAGAATTGCATGTTATAAACTAGCATTTGTAAGAAAATAGTCCCTTTTTACCTCAGAATTGGACTTTATAACTCATAATTGCGAGTTTATATCTCACAGTTATGAGAAAATAAATCAGAATTGTGAGATATAAATTCACAATTGCAAGAAAAATGGTAGAATTGCAAGTTTATATCTCGCAATTCTGACTTTAGCAAGTTTATATTTACATCATGCATTTCTGAGAAAAAAATGTCAGAATTGTGAGATAAAAAGTCGCAATTACCTTTTTATTTTTTATTCAGTGGCAGAAACGGGCTTCCATAGAAATGCACCAATCCACCAATAAACATCAGCTAACTCAGTTGCATAAGTGGAGTTTGTGTTTTGTGCCTTAATAGGTTATAAAATTTATAGTTCTGGTTCTAGTTGCTGATTGGTCAGTACCCTGCTCATAGCTATCATGGGAAACTCAATCATTCAAAACTACATCAAAATATAGAACAGCATCTCGTGCTTCATTGCATAATTGTTGATCTAGAATGATATAAATGAAGCTGAAGTTTCCAGTACAAGCTGACATTCAAAAGGCCTTTTTTGTCACAGCAAGTATGTTGAAGTGAAACTTCTTTTTTTCCTTGTGAGAGTTTTGATCATGTGATGTGGTATAGGCAGTGTTTTCACCAATCCTGGACTTGTGACCTTCAAAGTGTGTTTGTGTTTGTATGTGGGCATAAGACTGATCTCTCTGATCCTCATCCGCAGTCTGACCCTTACGTCCGTCTTACCCCATAATAACATGTAATCCAGTGAAAAAGTGGAAAACGTCCTCTTAGATAATATTGCATTGACAATTGAATAAGGAGGATTGTGGCATCTGTTCAGAGGCTTTGGTATTGTGCGATCTGACGAAATCCTCCCTGTTACATTCCTCTCTCTTAAAAGGGTCCTATTATGTGTTTTCTCTTTTTTTAAACTTTAGTTAGTGTGTAATGTTGCTGTTTGAGAATAAAAAAGATCTGCAATGTTACAAAGCTCAAAGTTCATTCTAAGAGATATTCTCTTTAACAGTAAACACTTTTGAAGAACTACAACGAACGGCTCATTCAGACTACAGCGCACTTTGCAAAAAATGGGGTGAGGCCAGGTCAAGCTTCGCTAGAGAAGACAACGAAGAAGAGCTGCTTTAGTAGCGTGTTGTCGCCATGTCGAAGAGACGCTGTTTGTTCACCAAAACCCCTTTGTTTGGCCTTCCTAAGGTGGACGAACACTGAAGGCAAAACATCTCAGTATGGCCGCTGTTATCTTGCAAAAATGACGGCATTTGGAGCCTGACTCTGCACATTAGTGATCGTGAGGTGGAGCCGCAGTATCAAAGTCCCACCCACAAATCATGACACCACACCCCATTTTTACGCCATTAAATAACTAACTAAAAGCAAACTGGTTAGAAAAACGAACACTTGAACTTATTTTTTAGTATGGCAAGAACCACCAAAAATGACCGAAACCATCTTTGGGAAAAATTTAATTGAAGTGTAATTTGGTGATTTAGTTTGGCTAACGTCCCATTCGTTTACATGGAGAGGGCGGGGTTTATGATCTATACTGCAGTCAGCAACCAGATGGCGATCGAAATGTTTTGGTTTTACTTTGCAGGTCGTGAGCATCACGCTTGGGTGTACGGAGCCCCACACGTGACATGCAGGAAAAAAAAGTCAATTGTACGCATGATTTACTAATTCGCTCCCTCAGTTTACTAAATCGTGCGGACAATTTACTAATTCTTTCCCTCGGTTTACTAATAAGTTTCCTTCAGTTTACTAAATTGTGCACACGATTTAATAATTCATTCCCTCATTTATTAATTCAGTAAATCATGTGCACAAAATAATTTGTTGGAATCGCATAATTGCATAGAATCATTTTAAGTGAGAGGTATCTACATCGGTTTATGAAAATGCAGACAGGAAGTAGAAATTAATTATTATTTCGTGAGCACGATTCGAGGGAACGAATTATATCGAGCACATGGTTTACTTAAAACGAGGGCACACATTATTATTTTGTGGGCACAATTTACTTAAAGGGGTCATATGATGCGATTTCAAGTTTTCCTTTCTCTTTGGAGTGTTACAAGCTGATTGTGCATAGATAAGATCCCTGAAGTTGCAAAGACTAAAGTCTCAAACATGATCTTTAAAAAAGCATCATATGACCCCTTTAAAACAAGGAAACTAATTAGTAAATTGTGCGCACATTTTAGTAAATCGAGGGAACAAATTAGTAAATTGTGCGCATGATTCACTTTTTTCCCCCTGCATGTCATGTGTGGCTCCATAAGGGTGCGACATTTACAGAACTCACTCTAAGCGGTTAGCCAATCACAACGAACTGGGCCAGCTAACCTCTCAGAACAAATTTCTTATTTCGGAGGGAGGGGCTTCATCGAAACAAGAAGTAATTGGTGTGTTTGAGACCGACTGGGTGCTGCAATAATGTTAAACATGAAAAATAATCTGTTTATGGAACAGCTGAGCACGAAAACCTATTTTAATACACCCCAAAAAAACTAAATCAAGTAATAGGACCACTTTGACCTTTCTCACTTATGTTCAAGTATCTAATATACTAGTAAAATTGCACAGGATAACTTAAAAATGAGGCAATGGTTGATCTGTATTTGGTTTTGTTGACAGTAAAAGGTATAGAACTGGATTTTGGGTGTTGCTAATGTGTTCTGAGCATGATGCTGTATGGTTGCCAGGGACTTTTATTATCTATCATGTTGTGTTATGGTTGCGAAGACATTTGCTCTCTATTTAATCTCATTAATGCGTACGAGAAATAGCTGAGTTCATTGACGAGATCTCATTTGCAGAATCGCAGGTAGTTTCCAACAATCAGAAATGGACTGGTAATCTCCTGCAGTGTTTACTCACACGAGGTTGTTAACCAGGACACTGACCTCTCTCCTCTCTTCCCGTCGCTTCTGCTTGCATCACGTGATGTTGCCCTCCCCCACTTAATACCCCTCTCAACTCCTCTAAATCAATTACATCATCCTATCATCTGCTGCACTGCCTGTCTGCAAGAGTCTATATACAGACAAACAGGCCGATAAAAGGATAGCAAGGCCACATATTCACTTGACTTGGACCTCTTGCTCTTTAGAATCAGAGATCCAGCCACAAACGTTTGCTGCTGCCACAGGCCTTCCCAGCTGGCTGTCAATCTTACATGACTGAGCGAGTGTAAACTCTCTGAGTTAATCTAGTCAACAGGTAATGACAGGAAATTGAGATTGGAGAGTGTTTCTAGAAAAGCTATGGAATGGGTCCTGATGCCCCCCTGTGGTTTTGAAAAGGCTTTACATGTTATTGTGCCATCTTGCTTTGCTTTTTGATACTGATTGGTCTATTGTGTCAAAATATATATATATTTTTTTTCTAACATTTTCTAAATTGCTACTAGCTACTACTAGCTTTTGCTATGGCAAATTATTAAAGAGGAAGCGTGTCGTTTTTATTTATTTATTTATTTATTTTTTACAATACTTTATCCTATTCCAGCTGTAGGACAGCTATAAGTAAACCACTGGTATTTTGAGCTCCTAAAGAGTGTAAACATTGTGGTTTGTTTGAAGCAAGAGGTCAAGGTTCAGCTAGTTAGCATGATCCAATTAGCCCCCTACTGGTAGAAATTGTAACTACAACATTATGAAGCATCTTAAAAAGCATAAAAATAAAATGCATATTTTCAAAAGTAATTCTGACTAAATAATAATAATAATAATTATTATATATTTTTTTACTTGCATATATATTTTTATATTATATTATATCATATTTATAATATATATTGTATATTTTTATATATTAAATTATATATATTATATTTTATATATTTATATAAATCATTACTAATAATAATCAATTATATAAACAATCAATCAAATAAATAACTAAATAAATTCATTCATTCTAGATAAATTGTTCAAATAATCAAATATTTAATATAATGTACCCAATTGCATAAGTTTGGGATAGGCTACCTGATAGTCATTTACGTATTCTGACTAAATTAATTTTGTTTTGTTTTTTATTTACATACATTTACTTATATTATAATTTATATAATTTCATTCAATTTTATATATATTATATTTTTATATAGTTTATATAAATTGTTACTTATAAATACATAATCGATCAATCAATGAATCAGTCAATCAGGTAGGCCAGTCCCAAACTTATCCAGATGGGTGTATTATATTAAATTATATATACATTTTTTAAATGATTGTTGTTGTTATATTTGTTATATTATTATTAAATGTTTAATATAATATACCCAATCGCATGAGACAAGTTTCCTGTTTATTTGAACAATGACATAGTGTGCAATTCTGTTTCATGCCACTAATGGTGCAGAAATGACACACCTTGTCCTCTTTCTCATCCCTTCAGGACACCACAGGCATTCCCATGCACTTCTGGGGAGTGTTTGATGGACACGCCGGCTCTGGTGCTGCTCTCATGGCATCCAAACTTCTCCAACTTATCATCCGTGATCGGCTTTGTGATGTGGCTCATCTTCTCGAAAATCAAAACAACCCTCCACCTATCTGTCTGGCCAAGAACGGGAGCCCCTTCCAGGCTGAGGCGAAGAAAGGGGCCTGCCTAGATGGAGAGGAGCAGGATGGGCTCCTGGATGAGCCGCGGTTCCACATGGAGAAAGACATCAGTGTGGAGAGCCTGGTGATGGGGATCATAGAGACCGCCTTCAGACAGATGGTGAGAACTGTAAAAGATAAGAGAAGCCTGTGGATGTTTTTATGGAGGACTAGGTGTACCAATTCAAAATTAAATAAAGAAATTATCAATTTATTCAAAAATACAATTGCAAATAAATAAATTAATCATTTTTTAAATTAACATTTGAAACAATTATTTAATTCATGTTTAAGTGTTATTAAATGTAAGAAATAATAAATTGATATATAATTGTGCAACATTTATAATGCATTTAGTGTCATTGAAATAATAAAATAAATTATCAATGTATTTTAAAAAAATTACAAATGCTAATGTAAAAATTAATCATTGTTTAAATATTTAAAACTATTTAATTATTTATTAGTAAAAAAAATAATGTATTGAATTCATGAAGTCATGTTGTTAGATGCGGCAAATAATAAATTGGTATATAATTTTAAGTGCAACATTTAAAGTGCATAATTCTAAAGCATTTGCCAGCTATGTTTCTTTACCTCTTTGCCAGTTGAGTTAAAAATGCTATTGGACAGCTCACACAGTTCACAGCCAATGAACATTCGATTTAGTTTTAAGACATTTAACTAACATTTTAAACATGAATTCATGTTACATAGGTATTTTGGACCTACCATCTGTATATTACTGGCACAGATGTTTAAACATCAAGACTGGGCATTATACATAGAATTCATATTGTGATTTTGCTGAATGTTGTGCAGATGTGAGCAAACAGAAGAGAAAACTGAGTCTGTGTCTGTGTGTCCCACTCTATAGGACGACCTGATAGAGAAGGAGAAAGAATCTTACAGCATCTCTGGCGGCTGTTGTGCCTTGATTGTAATTCACTTGTTGGGGAAACTCTATGTAGCAAATGCTGGAGACAGCAGGTAGGAGGACTTATCCTTAAATGTGCATGTTACATTAGCAATCTAAAAGGTCTTTATATTTTAGTTAAAAAGCTTAGTATACAAAATAAATGAGGTTGAATGTCGATCATAATCGACAATAATCTTATCAAGATGCAAATTCTAAACTGTGAACTTGTATATCATAAGAGTTTATTGAGTGTGAGGTATTTTTGTTACAAAAGGATATTGTATTATACTTGCCTCAGTAAACACTGAAATGTCTGTCTAATGAAATATGGAGGAAACTGTTGTTGCCTGAAATGAAAAGATGACATAAATATGTCTCTAAGGAGACAATGTGTCTTCTGCTTTACTGTTATTGCAACAGTACATTCCATGTTAATTTTGCAAAGATGTTGGCCAAATGACTCAATTACTGTGACAGTTACCCATAATGATAATCTTGGGGATTTTAGCAATAAATGAGAAAATGACTGCAGTAGGTACTGTATAGAACTGTAAATAGCATATATAACTTGCTTTTGACTGTATCATCCAGTCTTTTATAAACTGCTGCTTAGAAACACTTGTAAAATTCCCAATGTAATTTCCCCACAGAGCCATAATTGTCCGAAACAATGAGGTCATCCCAGTGTCCAATGAATTCACACCAGAAAGTGAAAGACAGCGGCTACAGTACCTGGTGAGTCATCTGGTGTTATTGTCCTAATATAATTCCCATTCCATTTCTAGCTTCATTCTAAACCCTGTTCATTCATTTACTGTGTCTGCTCCATTTCTATTAGATCTTCCATTCTGTAACCCTTCCATTGCGTTTGTGCTGTTTTTGTCTAGGGCTTCCTCAAACCTGAGCTGCTTGGGAATGAGTTTACGCATATTGAATTCCCCAGACGTATCCAACACAGTGAACTCGGCAAGAAGATGCTTTTTAGAGACCACACAATGACTGGCTGGTAATTCTAAAGCAGGCTTAATTTTATAACATACAGTATTGTTATTTTATTTACATATATATAAAAGTTGAAGTCTTTGGTTTTATTGCATTCATTAGCATTACCTGTTATTAATTCAGGGCATATAAGACAATTGTAGAAGACGATCTCAAGTTCCCGCTGATTTATGGGGAAGGGAAAAAGGTAAGCGAATCATTCTGCTTCTTTTTAACTTCAAAAGGTCCAGGTGCTGTAAATGGATTTTATTTAAAGCTGCATAGCGGTAACATTTGTTACAGACCTAACATATAATCTGATGAAGGTGTCTGAAGCTTTTTTCCGCTCAGTTTTCACAGCTATTTATTACAAAGCAGGAGTAGTGAGGTGTTGCAAATGGGAATTGCTAAAATGTTCTGCCAGTTGTAGGCCAGAATAATGTCTTGTTTGATAAAGTTTGCATGAATATAAAAGAATCTTTTTGCACTAATGGCACATGAATCTCCAGCTGTGAGTGTGTGTTTGTGTGCTCTTAGGCTCGAGTCATGGCTACTATTGGAGTAACGCGCGGTTTAGGGGATCACGACTTGAAAGTGTACAACTCCAACATTCATATCAAACCTTTCCTATCCTGCTGCCCAGAAGTGAGTACATTATTAGATATTTATAGGCAAGGCCATTTATTTACTCATTCAAATAGTCATTTAGCTACTAGTTATTAAGTCACTTCTTGATTGAAATGGACAGTTCACCCAAGAAGTTTTATTAGATGTTATTTTAAACCTGTTTTTGTGTAAATTAAAAGTATATGGCATATGAAGCATAACAGCATCAAAATAATATAATCTCATGCCCAGGTCAAGGTGTACAAGATCTCTGAGCACAAACATGGGTCTGATGATGTCCTGATCATGGGTAGTGATGGACTATGGGACGTTACAACTGACAGAGATGTTGCCGATGCAGTATCGACTTTCTTGTCTAGTCGTGAGCCCAATGATCCCTTGAGGTAAGCTGACCTGATCACATAATGGACAGCACACATTTTACCCACACATTCACGAAAATTTTCTAAATGCAAATAATAAAATGTAACAACACTAACTACTGTTCAAAAGTTTGAGTTTGGTAGATTTTTTTTGTCTTTAAAGTCTCTTATGCTTACCAATGCAGCTTTTATTTGATCAGAAATACAGTAAAAACAGTAATATTGTGAAATGTTATTGCAGTTTAAAATAATATTTAATATTTTGTTATAATATTTAAGATTTTAAAAAGTAATTGTAAGTTATGGCAAAGCTGAATTTTCAGCAGTTTCACACAATCATTTAGAAATCATTCTAATATGCAGATTTGTGCTGAATTATTATCAATGCTGTTGTGCTGCTTAATATTTTTGTGGAAACCATGATCAATTTTTTCCCCAAAATTTTTGGATGAATAAATTTTGATTTATTTATTCTTAATTGTTTTATATATATTATTTGTATTATATATTTATTTTTATGTATATTTTATTAGATACAATATAATTATATAATACAAAAGAATTGTTACATATAATAAGATACAATATAATAAAATGTAAAGCCTATATACATACATATATAGAATCTTGTGTAACATTATAAATGTCTTTTCTGTCACTTTTGATCAGTGCATCCTTGCTGAATAAAAGTATTAATTTCTTAAAAATTTAAAAAAATGTTGAATGTTAGTTTATATAATTATGCATAGTTAGGAAAGCTAAATAAATAAGTTGATAATTGGCTGAATCGAGTGTGTTGTAGTAGTTGGACCAGTAGATGTCAGTGTACAGTTTGTCGTCACCAAGGCCCTCAATTGTTATTTTGCATTTACTTTAATGTTCAAATGCTGATGCCGTGTTTGTCATTTCATGTTTTTAAAGGTACACTTTAGCAGCACAAGACCTGCTGATGCGCTCACGTGGAGTCCTGAAGGAGCGAGGCTGGCGGCTGCCCAATGAGAGACTTGGCTCCGGTGATGACATCACCGTGTTTGTCATTCCATTGGCCGGGGCAGAGTTAGAAACATGACCAGGTTGGTCCACCTTCACTGGACAAGCACACCAGGACACGTCCCTGGCTCCATCCCAGAGAAAGGGCTAGGAAATCCATTTTCAATCCGTCAGATGGCTCGGATACGAGAGACGTTAAATGCAACTTCCCCTTGTCCTCCTTCTTCTCCTCCGAGTCATACCATGAATATCGTCAAGCCCATGTCAGGTGTGAGGTGACATCATCAAGTGCCATTCCTCTCGCTCTTTATTTCCTTTCTGATTTGTCGAACGCACCTCTGCAAGTCAGTACGGGACGGTAGGGCTTGTAACTCATGAGTATTCTTTAACATCGGTGGGCCGTTTGAATCTCAATCTCAGTGTGGCAAAAGGAATAAGCCAATACTGCTAAAAAATCAAAGCCCTGACGGCATGAGAAATAAAAACCGAAGCACTTTATATGTAGCAGAATTCATTTGAGCTGTAATTTAAACTGCTGGTTATATTTCCTAACTGTTCTCTTACTGTCTTCAAAGAATGCGTCTTTCGACTGAGGTTAAGGTTTCTATAGCAAGATGCAATCAACAACAAAAAACGATGGGCATTTCCTGTGAATGCTGAGTTTTTTGTTAATTTCAGCTGTTTCGGGTTCAAACAGGCATCCTTTTACATGGAGGCAATGCAACTGTCTATATTCTGGAACTAGTATTAAATATAGCTCTGTAGAACTAGGCTCATTTTCCCTAGACCTTCAAAAGGCCATGTACAAATAACCCAAAACATCTAGTACAGCGTAAGTCATTGACGTGCACCAGGCTTTCCATTCACAACCGAACTGATTGCTTGAACTGCTGTAGATTTGAACATCGTAGCTGAATGACCTGTTTATTTTGCTGTAGATAAAACCTAATTTGGTCTAAAACCGTGTCAGTAAAGAATCTCAAATCCAACAACTATTTAGATCCAAACCTGAAACTGAGAAACCTGGAATTAGTTTCATCAGTCATCGGTCTTTTTGTACACCTTGAATGTACCTGATTTCCTTTACTTGATGTCAGTGTTGTGTCTGTGAAGTATATAGTAAATATATATTGATTTCTGCCTTTCGAATGATGATTCATTGTCAAAGGATTACTCTTTGCAAATTATGCGACTAATTCGAAATAAATCTATCCTTTTTATAATGGCTATGTTGTTATTTTTTGTGCTACATTCATTTGCTTTATTGTGCATGAGAAATTAGTGTTACTTTTGTTTTTGTGTCACTCATTTTTGTGCACAGTAGCTTGTATTTAGAAGCAATTAATAGATACGTATAAAGACTATAATAAGGATTATGATATATGCTGTTCAATATAGTGATCCGTCATATAAAAAAAACATAAAAACAGCCACTATGTGCACACTCTCAGAGAGAGGGAGAGAAAAAAACATACAACCAGCTGTCACAAGGGTGGTACCCTTTCAAAAGGTACTTATATGTACTATTTAGTACTATTATGTATACTTTAGGTACTAATGTGTACCTGTAAGGTACCAATATGCACCATTTAGGATTAAGTAAGTTACCAAATGTAGCCTACCTTTTGAAAAGATACTGCCCCAGTAACAGTGTTTGTACTTTTTTTCTGAGAGTGTAGCTGTTCATATTAATCAAAAATACAAAGTAAAAACAGATATTAAATCATTGAGACCTACTGAAGGCTAATAAAACATATTTTTGAAAAAGGGTAATATTGTGAAATATTATTAATATTATTTATTTTAAAATGTAATTTATTCCTGTAATGGTAAAGCTGAATTGAAGTAGAAATATTATGAAATAGAAGTATTTTGTAAACATTATATAAGTATTTTCTGTCACCTTTGATCAATCTAATGCATCCTTGCTGAATAAAAATATTTCATTAAAACAAAAAAATCTTACTAACCCCAAACTTTTGAATAGTAGCCTATTATAGACTTTTGTGCACAATATAAACAGTGAAACAATTATGAAACTGACAAATAATCCAATAAAACAGCATACATAACATACATAAAATTATAAAACCAAGTTTTGACTAAGAAATATTTCATTAATAATATTAAATACATGCATTTAAAACACGTAACAACTTTGCATTGCTTTTATGAAAAATATTCATAAGACGACAACATTTTATCCTAATTGTATAGACCTTGTCTGAATGCATGTCAGCTTGATTTTATTACAAAAAGTGCTGATATGTGTCATAAGTAGCATGGGTATATTTGTAGCAATAGCCAAAAATACATTGTATGGGTCAAAATTATCGATTCATGAAGATATTTTGTAAATTTCCTACCATAAACATATCAAAACTAATTTTTGATTAGTAATATGCATCGCTAAGAACTTAATTTGGACAACTTTAAAGGCGATTTTCTCAATATTTAGATTTGTTTTTTTGCACCCTCAGATTCCAGATTTTCAAATAGTTGTATCTCGGCCAAATATAGTCCTATCATAACAAACCATACATCAATGGAAAGCTTATTGACCCTTACGACTGGTTTTGTGGTCCAGGGTCACATATAGAATAGGAACCAGGCTAAAGAGCAGTGTGATTTAGTGGTGTGTGTGTGGTGTATGGCTGTCCACAGCGATCAGAATGATGTCATTATTATCGGTGGCGGAGGGAGGGACCGCAGTGCTCCTCCTCAGCGGCGAACCGCCTCCTCTCCTCCGCCGGTCAACAACACTCATATGTGCGATTCCCATTACAGCGGGCGGGTCTTCTGTGAGTCGAGCCTCGTCTCTTAGCAATAATCGCGTGAAATTTCTCCACATTGCGCCTAAAATTTTGACACGAGATCGACAGGGAATTTGAACCCCGCGAGGAAATAAGGTATTTATGTTTACATTTGCATACATGGCATCTTATTTGACATGTCGGACTTTAGGAATGTTGGTAGAAAACAAGTTTGCTAAGGCGGTGTGGGGAAAGTAACGTTAGGTGGTGGCTGTTAGTTCTTAAACGAGCTCGTTGATGGTTTTAATGGTTCGCGTTATGTGGGAATTATGTCAGATTTATAGTTTAAACCGACCAGGCAGTGTGACAACAGTGAGAATTCCCATTCACAGTTCTGTAGTGAGTTATAGAGGTATTAAAAATGATACAAAACACATTTGCGGATCATAAAGCTCCGCGCGAGTTTTGGTTATTCTTCGATATACTGCGAACTAATTAATTGTTTGCTCGCTGTTCGACGTGCCGTTTCTAGTCGTGAGTACATTAGTTTCCTTCAGTCACACAAGGGCGTTGCAGTCGACAGCGCTTCAGTTGTGTGCAAAACTTTTCCCCTAAACCCAGCCGAGCGACTAACTAACCTGTTGTTCCACCGAGGAGTCTGTCAAGATGACATGTCGGCTTGTCTTATAGCACTGCCTTCTCAAAATGTGCCTTTGGCCAAAGGCTGTGTTCTGTGGCAACCAAATGCTTGGATAAGACTTAAGAAAGGCCTGATCTTTAATCCTTGAGCTGTTGTAGGCCATTTTACGCTCATTCAGATAGCCTTGAGCGACATTTCATACACAGATTTCAGTATTTTATATGATATAAGGGAAAACTGTTGTCTGCGTCAGAATTGACAGTGTTCCTATGGTTCTGGAAAACCTAGAAATGTCAGGGAAAGTCAAAAGTTACATTTTCCAGGCATGGGAGATTTCTCATGGAAATTAATAAAATTGTAAACGACTATGGAAATTTCTAATAGTCAATCATTTTTCCTAGTTATGCATCAATGGAAAGCTTATTGACCCTTACGACTGGTTTTGTGGTCCAGGGTCACATATAGAATAGGAACCAGGCTAAAGAGCAGTGTGATTTAGTGGTGTGTGTGTGGTGTATGGCTGTCCACAGCGATCAGAATGATGTCATTATTATCGGTGGCGGAGGGAGGGACCGCAGTGCTCCTCCTCAGCGGCGAACCGCCTCCTCTCCTCCGCCGGTCAACAACACTCATATGTGCGATTCCCATTACAGCGGGCGGGTCTTCTGTGAGTCGAGCCTCGTCTCTTAGCAATAATCGCGTGAAATTTCTCCACATTGCGCCTAAAATTTTGACACGAGATCGACAGGGAATTTGAACCCCGCGAGGAAATAAGGTATTTATGTTTACATTTGCATACATGGCATCTTATTTGACATGTCGGACTTTAGGAATGTTGGTAGAAAACAAGTTTGCTAAGGCGGTGTGGGGAAAGTAACGTTAGGTGGTGGCTGTTAGTTCTTAAACGAGCTCGTTGATGGTTTTAATGGTTCGCGTTATGTGGGAATTATGTCAGATTTATAGTTTAAACCGACCAGGCAGTGTGACAACAGTGAGAATTCCCATTCACAGTTCTGTAGTGAGTTATAGAGGTATTAAAAATGATACAAAACACATTTGCGGATCATAAAGCTCCGCGCGAGTTTTGGTTATTCTTCGATATACTGCGAACTAATTAATTGTTTGCTCGCTGTTCGACGTGCCGTTTCTAGTCGTGAGTACATTAGTTTCCTTCAGTCACACAAGGGCGTTGCAGTCGACAGCGCTTCAGTTGTGTGCAAAACTTTTCCCCTAAACCCAGCCGAGCGACTAACTAACCTGTTGTTCCACCGAGGAGTCTGTCAAGATGACATGTCGGCTTGTCTTATAGCACTGCCTTCTCAAAATGTGCCTTTGGCCAAAGGCTGTGTTCTGTGGCAACCAAATGCTTGGATAAGACTTAAGAAAGGCCTGATCTTTAATCCTTGAGCTGTTGTAGGCCATTTTACGCTCATTCAGATAGCCTTGAGCGACATTTCATACACAGATTTCAGTATTTTATATGATATAAGGGAAAACTGTTGTCTGCGTCAGAATTGACAGTGTTCCTATGGTTCTGGAAAACCTAGAAATGTCAGGGAAAGTCAAAAGTTACATTTTCCAGGCATGGGAGATTTCTCATGGAAATTAATAAAATTGTAAACGACTATGGAAATTTCTAATAGTCAATCATTTTTCCTAGTTATGCTCAGTATTTCTTTGACTGTAAAAGGCTTTTGCTTCTCTTCTGATTGGGATCTCTATATAATGATTTTAATAATCCTTAATAATCAAGTCATCACAACTGGAAAATTCATGGAAAACAATTCTTTGAGCAGATAGAGAGGGTTATAATCTCACTTTATGAATAATAAGATATTTATAATGGTTAACATGGGAATTAACTCTTGTTTCAACATCAGGACGTTTTTGTTCGAAATTCTGTACTGGTCATCATTTTTACTATTTATTTTAATTTTTCAAATATTTTTCAAATATTTTTTCTTTTTTGTAACGCATAAAGTCCATTTTGCGTACCCAGAAGCAACTCCATTAACACCATTTTAATATGGGTTACTTGGAAAATTCAATGGATGTTTTGAAAAGCGTTTTTTGATTTATTAATAAAACCTGGGGTTTACATTACCTGAAGAGACTTTTAGGTTTTGTTTCATACAAGAATCACATATTGTTTTTTTATTTTTTAAACTTAAGTTGCTAACAAGTTGCTATATGAAATGATTGTCCGAGTCAAGCATGTAAACCCCCATCCTTGTGTTATAGTCTTTAATTAACTTGTTAGCAACTTAAAAAATAAATTGGACTGCTTCAAAATTGATGTTTATGGTTTGACTTTTTGTAATTAATGTTGTAGGACAAAAGGTCAAAATCTTATCAACACCTTAAATTAGAAATAAAACGAAAAATGCTATTCAAAAACCAAGAACACATGGCTCAAAAATGCCTAATTCTTCTTATCCAGGTTTTATGACTACAAACTAAGCTGAACAAGTCTTTTAGAAAAATGTAGTTTAAAATACTTTTAGACATGTAGGACAGATATGTACGACATAATGTCGGCCACAAGTAGAATTACAAGGCTATTAACAATAGGGATGCACCGAAATGAAAATTCTTGCCCGAAGCCAAACAAAATGAAACACTGGGCTGAATACCGAACACGGTTTTTCACATTTTTCCCCCATGTAGGCCTATTTTGCCATTTTTTTTTCACCATTGCATTAGTTAAATTGCCAAAATGTGCTTTTTACTGTTTTGTCCTGCTTTTCAAATAAAAAATCAATTAAAAAACAACAATTTAAAAATATTTACTTAACACTGAACATTTTTTAACATTCTAGCAGACATTATACCAACAAAGCACAATTTAACTTAAAATTAATAATAAGTTAGTAAAATAATATTTTTTGGCCATTTTTGAGACTTGAATCAGGCATGTATTTTTTACTGTACAAATAAAGGCAGCCTTGCTGAGCAGAAGAGAATTCTTTTAAAACATTAGAATATATTACAGATCCCAATTTGAACACTGTGTGAATGTTATAATAAATGTATTAAAACAGAGCTGTTGTAATGATTATTATCATTATTATTGTCT